AGTCCAGTAGTCATCTTTGCGAATAAAGGTTCGTCATTGAGTGTGGAGAAGAGTAAGAATACAGTGTTGAACGGTACTGAAAAGGGATACTTCTATAATTCTGTGACAAGTGCACTTATCGCGTTTTTGCTTTGAAGTGTGGCAAAACCGTAACGAAAACACTTTCCAATATAATCGAAACCAAACTAAAAAATGGTAAAGGTGTTCCTGTAACTGGCCGTGAGACGTTGAGATCCCAAGTTTTTTAGACAACCGACTCACAGATGCCAGTGAATTTGTTAGCCTTGTACTGTATGTCGGCCACCGTTTACCCCAAAGAAGATTCCTGGTACTCATTTTTGCTATAGGCTGAGTCGGCCCCAGGGCCATACTGCGGCTGGAAGGATTAGGTCAATTGAAAAATCCAATGAATCGAACCTGCGACCTTCCGGCTTGTAGCATAGTGCCTCTACTAACTACACTACAACCGAACCAATTAACCAGACCTTCACCAAAATTATGCGTCTTCATATTTTTTAACATATAACAGTACCTCAACATCTACTCTGTGTGAAGCAAGAGAAAATTTAAGATCTCATCTAATGCAGAAGGTCAGTCATTAACATTATACTCATATTTTATATTCCATTATTTCTGCTCTAGTATAAAAGTCAATGAGCTCAGTGCAAATAAATGACAAATGACAATGACAAAAATATTTGATACTATTCTCTTTTAAGAGGAATCTGTTGCATCCTGACTAACATACATAACTCTTTACTTTTTCAACAAACCCATTTATTCTCTTTAAAAAAACTGACACAGGATATGAAGTAATTTTAGTCAGATATTCTGTACATAGTATTTGAGAAATTACCATCTTACCATGCAGTAAACCACATTGTCATGAAATAAGTGCTTAAGAAGCAGATAGTCACACAGCTAGTTGAACGATTCCTTGCATTTTATGGAAACCGAAGTGGTCAAACAATTTACAGAATGTTATGGAACCAGGTTTATTACCATGTTCACAATAGCTCACCACCCAACCATATCCTGATTCAGTCCACTTTAATAAGTAATTCTGTATTTCAGCATCCTGTTTCAATTGTTTAACTTAAGCCGTTTTAATAAGATCTGAAGCCTTCACATAGGTTAAAATTTAGATTGTAGTCTTATGAGTTATGACATAAGTTAGTCATGGTGGTTACCAGTGTTTTGTGGGAACTTTCTGCCTCTATCAACTACTACTTACCAGCCAAGATGGTGACATAACCCAGGAGAACACAGTGTAAATCATACACCTAGTTTGTGAATGGATGTATTTATTTACTTATTATGCAGATATATCAATGTTTTAACTCATAAGTTGATTAATGGTTGATTGATTGATTTATTTCGTCACTGTAGATCATTGTACATGATATATGACAAGTCAAGTTAATGGCAAATAATTACTTGTTAAATCTTTGGATTTAAGGCTCTCACTTTGGTGATTATGGTGATTATGGGATTTAACACTATCTAGACTGGTAGAAGGCCACTGACATGTCAGAGAGACATAATAACTCCACCTTGGGGCTGAAGAGAAAACCAAGTAAGAACCAGGCAAGCAGAGCTGTTTGCCACCTGCTTCATGCTGGTTTCTTGCCTGGCTTACTCTTCAAACCTGAAAATGAAACTGGTATGTTCCTCCAAAACATCAGTGGACTTCTACAAGGTTACACAGGTTTATATCTCATAAGGTGGTACCCTTCAAGTAATTGCTTGATTAAAATTTGAATTGTCAGCCTTAATAGTTAGTAATGAGCCATGCTGTTGGGTTCCAAGAGATTACATTCTTACTTCTAGAAAAGAGGTAGTAACATATGATGACAATTATATAGACTTCACTGCTGAGGTTAGGACACTAGACTTCCACATGTCACAAACAACCTAGCTAGAATCAGTATGATTTATCATGCAAGTTTAATATTTATACGTGTCTCCCTGATGATGTATGTTACATAATTGACTATAGATGGGGTTTGAATTGGTAACTGGATTTATTGAACACTTAGAGATCATGACTATGAATAAATATAGCATTATCGCAAAGTCATACACTCTGCGGTGCACTATAGCAGGTACTAAGTCTTCTCAGTCTGTTGTGTCTTTACCAGTTGTTGCCTGGTGACAGATCCCAACAGTGTCCTCTGCTTTCATGCTTACATGTTTACTGGCTTGTGACTGTACCACAAGTGACTAAACTCTAGACTTGTCCTGCTTGTAACACTTTGAAACGGACCACACAGAAGAAAACACTGTTCCTCTGTTAGTGTTCAGTTGTTATTTAGTGGACCCCGCAGAAAACACCATTCCTTTGTTGTTGTTTGTGGGACACTGCCAGCAAACAGCTGCCATACAGTCGCCTATCTCATGGCCACTGCCTAGTAATGGATCTACTTGCCAAAATCATTAACAGACAACAGGAAGATATACAGATAATTTTTATGCAAGATAATTAGAAAATTAGCAAAACAAAGTGAATTCTGTTTAATAACTATGCCTATTTCAGGTTTAAATGTCTGATTAATCCTGGCAGTGAAGGTATCATTGTGAAACAAATTGACACAATTGTTTTCAATTGGAAAAACAGATGTTTCTATCACACGTATGTTGAAATTGAACAATATTTTTGCAGACTCATACTAAGGTCTGTTAACGTCCTGTGTCAATTGCATCACATCTATAGAAAAAAAATACTGTAACAGTTAGTTGTGACATGAGAAGTTGTCGTTGGCAGTGACTGTGTTGAGAATGGTTCATAATTTCCAACTGATAAATTGTGAAGACTCCTAAGAGTTCAAAGATTTTGTTCAGAACCTATAAAATGTTGTATTGATTCACACCACACTGTGGAATCAATTTGTTTGCTTTATTATTGACTTGCTATTATACTTAGAACAGTAGTTGAATCAGTAGAGTAACAGGCTGGATGATGACCTCAGAATAAGGGTTCATATCTTAGAAATGGCAAATACTTTTTATCCAGAACATCCAGACCAGCTCTAGGGGCCGCACAGCCTTCTAGCCAGGGAGTAATGGGGGCAGGCTGTGGAGGTGACCATTCACTTCCATTTAATCCCAAGATTACGAATGCGTGAAACTGTACCTCATCTCGTTCATGCATCTACATGATGTAGTTCTTAATTAACTGCTGGGACTTTACTTTTAGTTTAATAATATTGACTCACATCTTCTCCGATTCTCTGATTTTGTATGATTAGTGTTTTTATATATACTATATAACTGATATAACACGAGGCTATTCAGTTTGGGTACCTCAGTGCATTGCTGTTCTGAGTCCATCATTCTGCTCTGCTCTGCTCTGCACAGTAAAACTGATATTGCCAGCTGTTCATAAATCTTTCTAGAAGTCCCTGTTCTTACTTCTGAAATAAATGTGTTTTAAAATCTACAAACATACTCTTATACTGGAAGTAAAGATTAGTGTCCTCTGAAATGTGACACCATTTAGTTTGGTAGATATTTATCAGCATTTTGAGAAAACTGCCACCACCAGCTTCAGGGTGGAAACTTGAAAATGGAGGCAGTAGGTTCTTCTAAAACAACGGTAAATGTCTACCAGACTATGTGGTACCACACTAAGGAAAGCAGTAATCTTCATAATGGCCACTGTGAGAAAATCATATCATATATACACTGAAACGTATTTAATTTCATGTTAAAATTATGACATGATGGAAACGGATGTGCTGCTGCTAATGACAAAAATATGTAATAATTTTTAGGCATGAAATTATAATATAGCAAAACTTACCACTTTATTCTCATTTCTGTCTAATGTCAGCATGTAATACAATATGAATCTTGTACGCTTTTCAGTTAATTCAAGAGCATTAACACAACATGAATTCATAACATTATAATGTAACATACATAATTTTTTTTAATTCTCTTAGTGGGGGATGGAGTCCAAATGGGTCCACTCTGCACAGCAGCCACTAATTGGCCTATTGTAGCCTGCCCCGGGTGAGTATGATGATGGAAAATTTGGTAGAATGAAGATTGGCAGGGGAAACCGAAGTACTTGGAGAAAACCCGACCCAGCACCACTTTGTCCACCACAAATCCCACTTGACCAGTCCCCGGGATCGAACCCGGGCCACCCCGGTGGGAAGCCAGCGACTAACCGCTTGAGCTATGGCGCGGCCTATGTAACATACATAAAAAAACAGCAAACTTCATGATCAAACAAAAACATACATTTTTTTCCATGCTTGACTTACACTTCTAACCCTGAAGATGCAGACAGTAGATTTTTCATAAATGCTGGTAATGATCTACAAAGTTACACCGTGTCACATCCCAGAAGGTAGTAATTTTCATAGCCACCATCATCAGAACCTCAAATCTCACTCAAAAGCATACTGTAGTGATGATATGAATACTGTTTTTATAGTTTTTATTATATGTAATGACCTCAGGAGGGTTTCCTATCAGATTTCTCTTCACCATGTATTTCTGTCGTTACATATAGTCAGAAATACCCAATATTCTCATAAAATACTGTTTCTTACAAATAAAATTTTTGCAAGTCTTGCATGGCATGGAAGTATGTTCATCCCATTGCTTATAGCATTAACACACAGTTCTTCATGTTATCTAAAGTCTAAATTACAAACATAAAAGTATTAACAATATCTGATAAAAATATATATACAAAAGAGTATATTATGATGAGTAGACATATGTGCTTGTGCAAACCAAGCATCAGTGCTGAAAACAATTATGTGAATTCTGACATTGACAATGATTGATTATTTAGTCAGAAATGAATCATAGTTAGTTGTATAATTAAACATATCTTGGATTGGAATGCCAGAATCCTCAAAGCTCTTTGTATTTTATAGCATTTTATTATATAGAATAATTCAGCCTGAACAGAATTTTACTATTCTCATAGTCCACAACATTAACATTCCTCTGTAACATCTCATACTAATTCTGTTACCTTGTTTTTAAATTCGACATTATTATGGAAATGATTGTAGGTGAATGATATTTAAGCATGAAGCATGGGTTTCCAACACACTGCAACTTAATCTCATGAATGTATGAACATGGGAACTGGTAACCTTCAAGGCATCCTATGAGGTCTAGGCAGTTTCATATTTACAGAACCTCTGGTTCATATAAAAATATAAAGGTTGCATTATTTCAAGGACTGTCACAATTAACTGCTTGATCGTACAATTAATCAATTATTTTTTTATAACCATCCACTTATTTTCTTTGGTTGATTAACTGGTTAACAACCATGGCACCAGATCATCATTCTTTGTCTTATGAATGCCTCATTTGTCTTTCATTGAAGTTTGTTTTTAACTGTATCCATTTTCTTTTGCAGCGCCTAACGGAAAACACTAAACTAGCTCCTACCTCCTAATATACCAGTAAGTGTTTTATTCATTTATAGTAATGTAGTTCATATTTTTTATAACAGCATGTGTTTGTATTAATCAATCAGTAGGAGACAGGTAACTGATTAAAAGATTTGTAAGCAGTTAACGGTCCTAATTGTTTCAATGTTGTGGATGAAAGGAACCCAGTCCATGCTTAAGTCATCTGTATCCTCCTCAGTAATGTCTTATTTCTAAGTGCATTGGAGGTACACTTCTATTCTTTTTTTTTAAAGCTTATGGTAACAGTTGTGGATTCAGAGGTGCTGAATTGTAAATAGTTACAGTTTATTTCAAATCTCCATAATTTTTATCTTAAAACGTCGTTTAGAATGTTGTTTGAAATGGTAATTCGAGATTAAGTGGCTACATATTTTGCATTAAGTCAGATGTGTTATATTCAGTTAGATTTCCAAATTTAAAATGGCTCTATGCTGTTTTCATAATGTACTATCAGCACAATATTTGTGTACAATTTAAAATGTCAATTAACTGAATGAATTAGAAGTAGTCATGAGTCAATTATCAATCAAACTCAAAATTTCTTTTCTTTGGTACAGAATCACTCCATACCTTCACATTTGAAACCATTTTTCTTTGCACTGACCATTATAACAACTTGTCTCATTAGAGTAACCCCTAGTTTGTTTATTTCATAGTCCAGTTGCCTTACACCAACTCAGCTTAAAAAATAATGGCATTGGACCACCAAAATATATTACTATAAAGGTGTGTTATATACAATGATGTAGGCCTGTGTCACATTACATCTACAGGTATCTGATATAAAAATTATTTTCCATCTATAAGCTTGAAGGTACACTGAAGTATTTGGCATTAAAATTCAATAATTTCAGTGTAAATGCCACCAGTCATTCTGCACATTCGTTCAGCACTTGGTTGAAGTCTTCAGGCTGATCACGCTTCCTGTCCTTCATTTTCATCCATTTGTTTCTGGAAAAGTGCTGCCTTCTGTTTAAAAGCTATCCTTCTCTGTGCCTTTTCTTCTTCTTCTCGCTTGCGCTGTTCCTGTTCTTGGCGGATTTCATCTTCAAACTTACTAGTCTTCTTCAGTTCCTCAATCTGAAATAAAGTTTTAAACTTTTATTCTCATATTTACTTTATAAATGTGGGAAATATGAGGACCCAGCTAGATTCAAAATCCATGCTAATCTGTAGACTGTAGTACTTTATCATCATTCTGTCATCAGTAGAAAATGGAATCCTGATAGTCTAATGGCCAGCATATGCTGAGGTTTCTGGGTGTAATCCCAACTGATGTCAGCAGTATAGTGTATCTGTCAGTATGTTCACAGCCCAAGGATGAGAATAGAGCCAACTCCCAAAAAATGAATACATTAAATACATCTTTAAGAAACAATATCATTTGGCTATTTCCATCTCAGAGATCAATCCTTCATACTTACCATATGATAAACGCCATGATGGTCAGAAAATGGTAACATAAGGCTTTATAAGCACATAGGAAATATGCCCCTTCTTTCATAATATGCATTCAGGGTACAGTTTTTGTTTTTGCACTGAGTATAAGTGGTTTCTGTCAACTGTTCTTTATGTCTCTTAAGGAACATGACACCGGATAAGTAAAGGGCCAAAGTCATTTTATCCTGTACTCAAGTAAATAGCTCAGTATCAAGATGGCAGACCAAAATCAGCAGTGTCCTGTCCTTCCCTACCCAGTATTACATTCCACAGAGCCCTTTGTGTTCTTTATCGATACAAATGTTTACCTTTGCCTCAAAGAAGTTCTTGGCTCCTCCGACACCCACTTCTTCAACATTAATCTCAGTCAGCATGGCCAGTTTGCTGAGCCCACTCTCCTCTACTAGTTCCCCAGCTTTAGCCTTCCTGTAGATCAGCAGGAACTGAAAGTGCACAGAAACGCATTGCTTTTATCAGATAATTTAATATTTGCTTCTATGGAACCTAATGAAGTGGTACTCATATACATGCACATATGTGAATTAATTAATTCTGTTGAAGTTTCGATTATCTGAGAATGATAGTAATTGAACAAATAGTTGCATTGAATACAGAATTTCCTTTCTGATGCAGTGGTTCTCAATCTTTTGATGCTCATAGCACACTAGAATTTTTGTCATCATAAAGTTGGTAGGGAAATCATTACAAAAAAGAAGCTCTAATAGCATTGACTTTGGACAAACATTTTGCAGCTGTTGGNGGGAAGGGAAAAGAAAGCTCTTGGTTCGGACATAATAATTTTGAAAGATTTGGTGCAGGAGGAACCGGCACATTTGTTTTTCTTTTTAATAAGGTTACATTTCTGTTAATTTTTAAATGGCCCTACCTGTTCCCAAATGAAGTTCCAGATACACTGATTATTTGAGTGATGAGAGACAAGTTAAAAGGTTTTGGATCTTCAGTGTATTTTTAAATGCATATGAAAATACAGTATGTGCATGAATTGGGCATATTATGTGAACATTTTTTTTAAATAGGCAAGGAAAATATTATTACATGCAGACTGCATCTGTTTGGACCAAAGGTGGATGAATCTGTCATAGCTCTCCTGCTTTAATACCATCTTCACATTCATGCAATTCACTTCTCTTCTCATGATCGAGGCCCTGGCAACCAAATTCTGCCCGTATAATCACTGTCCCTTGTGTAATAAAAATATCATGAAAGATGGGTCTAATTTGGTCTGGTTTGATATGTCCATACTTAACAATAATCAGTGGAGTTGATTTGATTTGATTCTCATTAACCATGCAATATAAATCCAATCCAACAACACTTTCTTTAAATTACAAAATGTTTATTACTAGTAGCAGGCCTAGTTTTTCTAGGATTTGATTTACTGATACTCCCATCGAAGACAGCTGGTTATACTGCACTTTTGTTTCGATATTAATCTGTATTGCAAATTGCACGGATATTAAATAAACCAGAATAAATCATACCAAAGTACTGGATAACCATAATTCAATTCCTAGCAGAGGCAACAATTGTTCTCTTCACCACCAAGCCAGGACTGGCTCTAAGGCCCATCCATCCTCTTCCACAATGAGTACAGTGCTCTTGCTACAGTATATGAAGCTAGACTGTATTATCATCCCATGTCTCATTATGCACTTAAGCAACTCCACAGAGCAGAATATTTCTTGAAAACTAATAATTGCTCAACTGATCAAGATATTCCCCCTCTATTTATGGAACAAGAATGTTCATTGTCGCGCTCAAAGGAGACTTCCAGTGCAGCCTACCCAGCGCTGGATGAATCCAGTCCACACTCTCAGGACCCGTTTCTTTATGATATTCAATCCTGGGTCTGGTTAAGTGGGATTTCTGGTGGACAAAATGGCGCTGGGGCAGGTTTTCTCTGAGTACTTCGGTTTCCCCTGCCAATCTTCATTCCACCAATTGCTCCACAATCACCCTCACCTATCATCTGGGGCTGGTACAATGGGCCAGAAGTGGTCGCAGTACAAGGGACTTAGTCCCACCCAACTAGCATTAAAAATTATGATATTAAAGTCTTAATTTAACTGACATTAAGTAATATAATAAACTGAGATTCCTTGTTTAATAAACTTAGTATTCCTTTGCAGTCCTGTTAGTTGCACATTGGAATGGCATCCGGTCCACAGACAGCAGTTTTCCCACTCCTGTTTTACATTCTGTTCTTAATTAACAGCAGCAACCTAACTGGGTACAAAGAAAATCGTGTGAATCATTTGCTCCCAAGAGTGCACTCAGCAACACATACATAGGCATTCTGAATTTGAGGTTCTCACAGTGGTGACCATGAAGGATACTGTTCTCTGGGATATAACCCCATGTAGTCAGGCAGAAGTTCATCTATGTTTCACAGGAACATACTGCCTCCATCTTCAGAGTTGAAGAGTCAGCCAAGCAAACAGCCAAAAACCAAAACTTTGCTTACTACCTGCTTCTTGCTGGGGGAGGGGGTAAATCTCCACTCATGCTATTCTTCAGCTCTATATGAGGGTCAGTAATCAGCTTCATTTTTCCTTCTTTTACGGGGTCAGACCCTCTGGCAGACCTCCGTGTGACACAGAAGGCTGGGTGAGCCTCAGACCCAGTCTGAACATGGTGATGAAAAGAAAAAACTATGTTCCTTCTGGGGATCCAAGCCTGTCTTTCAACCTCCAGTCGCTTGACCTGTTCGCTGATGTATCCCAAATGAAACAATTTGGGAAAGATATGAAGAAATGTAAGCAGTTTGACGTACTTCCCGGAAACTGATCTTGTTGTCCCCATCCTCGTCCACCTCCTTAATCATCGCTTTGAGCCCCAGGTGAGTCTGTGGGGCTCCCAGCTTCTCCATCATCCTCTTCAGCTCCCCCAGATCCAGGTATCCATCACGACCTTCGTCAAATCTGCAACACAAGACAGTATCAGTTAGGAGAATGATTTCATTGATACTGTTTACAGATCCTCCCGGATCCAAACTCGTTGAGCTGGCGTTCACCCTCAGCCAGCTTTACAGTCCCGTCTTCTTCTCTATCTACCAATCGGATGCCTTTCTGACCAAAATTCTGTATATAGCCAATAACTCCCATCCTAAGCCATGCCATAGCTCAGGCGGTTAGTCGCCGGCTTCCCACTGCGGCGGTTAGGGTTGGAGCCCAAGTCAGGTCATATGGGATTTGTTGTGGACGAAGTGGCACTGGGGCATATTTTCTCTGAGTACTTTAGTTTCCCTGCTAATTCTCATTCCACCGACCGCTCCACACTCATCATCATCATCATCATCATCATCATCTGTCATCCGGGGCTGGTACAATAGGCAAAATAGAAATTAAAAGAAAAATCCTAGTACGTCCTGTGGAACAGGTATCTCTTGAGATCCTCCCAGCGGTGTTTATGAAGAGTTCTGTCCTCTGGGATATAACGCTGTGTAGTTCCTTGAAAGTTAACTGACTTTTTGAAGTAAGATGTCGCCTCCGTCTTCAGGCCTTAAGAGTAAGCCGCGCATGAAAGCAGCAAGGTGACTTTCAGCTGACTACACGGCGTTATATACCAGAAAATAGAGCTCATCAAGTATCTTATTATCGATTTTGGGGGAACAAACGCGGATGTTGTGTGGTCCCAAATATTTACTGATGCTCTGTAGATTACTATTATTGTTATTATTGGGTCACGCGGTAGCGTAGTTGGTTGAGGCACTATGCTACAAGCCGAAATGTCGCGGGTTCGAGTCCCGATGAGGTGGATTTCTTTTCAATTGACCTAATCCTTCCAGCCGCACTATGACCCTGGGGTCGACTCAGCCTCTAACATAAATTAGTGCCAGGAATCTTCTTGGGGGCTAAAGGGCGGCCGGCGCGTAAGGCTGACAAACTTATCGCCATCTGTGAACCGACTGTCTAGAGAAAATGTGGGAGCCTCGACGTCTCACGATCCTATGGGCCTTCACGGCCTGTTACAGGGACAGTTTTTATTATTTTGTTTTTATAATTTATAAATAAATCTGGGGTATACAGTGTCACGGCGTAGAGGTGTCTTCTCGTATACCACAAAAGACTAAACACAAATTAAACATGTAGTACTAAAAATAATATAAGTAGATTACAATGACATAAGCGTAACCTAAGTTTACTGATTCATGTTTTGTAAAAAAAAACTGAAGGTAACAAGGCAGAAAAGTATCTCCCCCCCCCCAACTTGCGTGATATTTTATAACGAGTCCTTTACAGAAAATGGAAAGCACTGACCATAAGGAGACAATGAGCTCTTAAAAACACTCTAATACATTACAGACAAATCGCGTTTCTGACTTGACGTGACGTCGCGCGCAAGAAAGATCGCGGAGACTTCTGCCACCTGCTGTGAAGGATAACGGACGTAGTAATTAACAGATTTGTTAGAGACGAAACATGGGGAATTTCGAACCCATTTCTTGACTGACGTTGCTTGTGTTTTTGTCAAGTTCTTCACGTGTGGCAAAGAGGAGCCTGAATAGAACTAAACTTGCGCAACTACAATGAAGTGTGTTCAGAAAATTACCTAGAACAAATACAGATAGGTACAGCAAACAGAAAAGGGAGCCATTATAAGTCATACGACAAAGCGAATGGCTTCAGAGTAGACCAGTCACTTCCAGAACATTCGGAAAAGTAGCGTAGTTTGTTGAGACACTATGCTACAAGCCGGAAGGTCGCGGGTTCAAATCCCGAGGTCATTGGATTCTTTTTCAATTGACCTAATCGTTTCAGCCGCACTATGACCCTGGGGTTGACTCAGCCTCTAACAGAAATGAGTACCAGGAATGTTCTTGGGGAGTAAAGCGCGGCCGGCGCGTAGGGCTGACAACTTTGTCGCCATCTATGAGCCGATTGTCTAGAAAATGTGGGAACCTCAACATTTTACAACCTTATGGGCCTGTTATAGGGCCGGTGGCAATGGTTCCGGATTTCTACCTGCCTTCCACAGTGGAAATCCTGCCCCTGTCTGAATTATGCTCCGTTCTTTGATATTACAAATGCACACACGAAGCGACCCTCCCAGGCACGAAAAGGAAGTGACCAATTCAGATCACTGCCCTGTCAGATACGAGTATAAGTTATCTCCACACTGCATCATTCTGCTTCATGCAGCTTCCCTTCTTGCAAACACGATTCCGTGATTACAAACCGCTCTATGTCGCAGTTAGTGTTACCGTCCGTCCGTCTGAGATTCATTTTCTGTAATNGGAAGTGACCAATTCAGATCACTGCCCTGTCAGATACGAGTATAAGCTATCTCCACACTATATCATTGTGCTTCATGCAGCTTCCCTTCTTGCAAACAGATTCCGTGATCACAAACCGCTCTATATCGCAGTTATTGTTACCGTCCGTCCGTCTGATGTTCAATTTCTGTAACGTAAATGTGAGATCCCTTAAAATATGTACGGATTGATAAATATATACCGGGCGGGTTAGCGCAGCGGTAACGCACTACTCATATTCCAGAAGTGGTCGGTTAGATCGGCCTGGTAACCGATTATCCCGGCTAAGATTTTTCGTGGTTTTCCTCAGTTCTTCAGGGAAAATTCCGGGGTAGTACCTGGATTGGATAACGACCGCTTCCTTTCAAATCTTTTCCAACTCACCAATCCTGCCATTCGACGTTAGAGAGTGTATAAAGTCGTAAAATAACCCACACAGAAATATATGTAATAATGTATTTTATATGGAAGATATATTAGGTATTTAATAAGGACCACATTTAAGGCCAGTAAGATAGGCAGCATCGTTCCGCGCTTTCCTGTTGTTTGCGCAAACACAACATTCTCATCTCGAGGCCGTTGGGTTTGTGCTGCTATGCACTTGGGTAAAGTTGTACCTGTGCGTAACTAATTAAGCACTATACCATGAAGGCGTATGGGTGATCGGATGTATAGATCCACATTTTCTTGATCTCGGCACTAGTTGGTGAGTGGTCAGATTCACGCCCCGGCCACTTTATCCCCGGGAAAGAGCCTCCGGTACCCACCGTATAGGAGGTTGGTTAAACCCCAGAGCCGGTATGGACGTTTGGGGAAGTAAAAATTCTTGACCCTACCGGGAATCTAACTCCGACCCCTTGGTCGTCCAGCCCGTAGCCAGACGCTATACCGACTACGCTATCTCGGCCCCTCTGTGCACTTGGGACTGATGTAAATGTTACACGACGATGTTCCATGCGCTTATAATTCATGCTTATAATTGGAACATGACACGCTGCCCCTGAAGGATAAATTCAAAACACAACTGCAGACTTTCTTAATATTTTTAATGGGCCAGCTGTCGGCTTCTGTCTGGAGTTTTAAACACAACCTCGAACCGCAATGAGTTGGTTAGAATAATGAAAGTTTAATATTGTCATGGTCGTCACTTTACAGTATGACACATGTTTACGGAACCGTCTACGAAACCTGTGCAGATCTGCATCAGAATCAACGAATCCTCGACTCTCAACGATCTTTATTTCCGTACTCATTCGCAAAAGTAAGCGTTCGATCTTACGTTTTCCCGGCGCACAGTTGAGGAGATTCACGACAGTTTAACTGTGGGCGCCGCCGCCTTCGAATTTAAGAAAACGCTTTGGTCTGTCATTTGCCCCTCCGCTGCACCTTCCATTTTCTCCGCGACACACCGTTTATAAGGTAACAGTATAAAGAAACTTTTGGATTAGGGTCTTTACGTTTGGTTGAGGCACTACGTTACAATCGATGGTTCGATTCCGAATGAGGTCTTGGGATTTTTCAATTGACCTAATCCTACCATCCGCACTGTGGCCCTGGGATTGACCCAACCTCTAGCAAAAACGAGTACCAGGAGTCTTCCTGGGGGTAAAAGGAGGCCGGGGCGTAAGGCGTAAGGCGTAAGGATGACGTTTGATTTTAGACCATATATTTGTATGACGTATTTTGAGGTTATGGCCTACCAACCCCCGGCCTCAGTTTTGGTGACAGAGCTCCTACATATGAGTAGCGTGAAAAACAGCTTTCCGCGGTCAAGAGCCGTAGAAACACGTTTTTCAACTACAGTGCAAAAGTGGAGTTTTAAAAATCCATTACTTTCTCTCGTAGAATGTAGGTTTTAGAATGTTAAAAAACAAACATTTCTTTGCTAAGTCTCGTAGACACGAATATTTTCGCTTGACACTTATCGCGGGGAAGTTTTTTGTGGTCTGCCGGGAACTTAGTTCATTGCGAAATAGGATGATGACGTCAAAGAGTGCGTTCTCACCGCGGACAATTTGATCTAATTAGCTCAGCATGAACTCACCTGACTCACTAGAAAGTTTCAGAATCGAATCCAGGCCCACAGCTGGTTAGCCTGGGGTTTTCTTCTGCCCTCTCTGGAGAATACCGTTACAATAGCCATGGCCTAGTCCCCCCGCGTTCTTTTATGAGATTTTCTGTAGCAGTGCCTCGAGAATTGAGAGAATATACTGTAGAACACGACATCTTCCTTCCACATTCTTTTCCATTCATCATCCTCTCTCCCACCGAACAACATAACCTCAGCAGTTGATTCGATACTGAAGGAGCTGGCGCGTTGATAATGCACGTGATTCGCAGTCAAGATTTGCGTGGTCTATAGGTCAGCCGAGGATCTCCAGCTCGATTGCTGTCATGGTGTTTCCCTGTTTATCCAACTGAATGCCAGAATACTACTGTCGCCCCATTACCGCATCCTCCAGCAATCTTCCCAGTTCACCCCATCATCTCTAACTCATGTTTCACACCACTGAAATTAATATAGACACTTGCACAAGAACAGAATAATAGTCACCACTGAATGGAAAGATTACCGCCCTTTACGTCCTGAAGACAACATGACGGAATAATAATAAACGAACTACTGTTTTGGTGACACAACAGATCATAGCCTTTTTTTCTCCCTTG